TAATCCTACGGTAGCACCAAGTATATCTACTTTATTGGACAAGAGATTTAGAAATGAGGGCCGGTACGGACGAAATTGGGACACGCCTATCTTGCCCTGGCCTAAGCCTATCCCCTAACCCACATTTTGTGGCACAAGCGCTAGTTTTATAGGGCTGGGCTAGGCCACGGACCCAATTTCACCTCTAATTTAGAGGATATTCTACATTTATTTTTTCTTCTCTAACCAGATAACATATTAACAAATAAAATAATTCTTAAACAAACTCACGTCTAAGTTCTATCCAAAAGAGATCACGATGCTATTTTCTTGTACAATTGTGCAAGGCATATGGAATTCCTCTTTCCCACGTGCGGTTATGGAATTAATATGAAAATTTTTAATGAAAAAAGTTAGGGGCTAAGGATTAAAAAAAAAAAAAAAAAAAAAAAAAGAAGGGGTAAAGCCTCACCTCAAAACTCACCAATAGTTATAGTTGCTTAAATCGATCATATTAACCTCGATCATTAGGGTTATGAAAAAACTTCAAGCCCTAACATAATGTATATTGTAATATGTTATCTAGTGTGGATATTCAAGTGTTTATGGATCCACATGACCTGCAACCTTCGTTTGGCTACAAATTCATAATCAGATTTTTTAAAAAATGGATCGATGACCCATAGTAGCCACCCCAATAATAAGGTTGGATTGGTGGATCGGTGATCCCGATCGGCCGGTTTTGTTCTCAAAAAAATTTCAAAAAATCACTAAAATCTGTAAAAATAGTGTTTTTTGAGTTTTCAAAAAAACAAAGGTGTTATATTATGTACTTTCATTATTTTATAAAAAATTGTAAATATTGAGACATTGTTTCATTGTATGGAGGTTTGTTGACCATTAAATTCACATCACTAATAAAAAAAAGAGCTTACAATCAACATGAATATAAATACATGGTGTAAAATGGAACATACAACAATTAAAATATAACCTGATATCAAAATGAAACATATGTTGCTCTTTCTCTTCATCGTGTTCGTGCCACTCAGTTAATTATCTCAACAGTTCATCGAGTTGTTTCATGTACGCTTCATAATTGTCTCAATAACTTGTTATATATTTTATATAATAATAACAACTTAATATAATTTAAAATATATTAAAATTTTATTGCTCTATAAAATAAGTTATTATAATGATAACAAATAAGCAATAAGTGTAAGTTATAAATATATTTATTTAAAAATTACAATCTATATTAAATATGAAAATAACATAATCTATATAACAATCACAATTTATTTATAATGCTTTATAATACAATAATTTATTACATTAAATTATGTACCATTTTATTGTTTTTATAAAAATAAAATTTTTAATATAATAAATAGTTAATAAGTCAACAAGTTTTATATAATTATATTCATTCGACATAATAATATTAACATAATCATGATGTAATCATAATCACATAGTTATACTAACATAAGTTTAACATAATTATATTAAGTTATTAATATAAATAAACAACAATAATTTTAATATAACTATTCTAATTATTGTAAGTTAATTACATGAAATTTCTTTTTGTAATTGTATGCAATCAAAACCAAACTATATGTACTTTATTTTTTGTAAATTACAAAATAAGAAATAAATATTGTTAATTTAAATAAATTATTTTATAGACGATCTCATTTTTGTAGAGGAACTTGCCCTTTTATAAGAGAGAGATTAATGGGAACGTAGAAGCAAGAAAGAGAGAAAGAGAGAGAGAGAAAAAGAGAGAGACATGTTAATGGAAACGTAGAGATATAATGGAAAATGTCTAACTTTGAAGCAAAGGTTCGGGAGAAATCAGCTAGCAAAACAATATCCTACATGGGAGGATTGTGGGAGAAAATGACACCATAAAAGATATGAACCCCACATCACTAATAAAAGCTTATTACTAGGTAAGCATGATGAGAGGTGCAAAAGCCTATTGCTCATGAGGTAGCATAATGATAGGTGCATAGGTAGGTGAAGTTAGTGAGCCCACAACTTTTTTTATTGAAAAAATATTGGAAAAATCCCGTTCATTAATAAACGTTTGGTTCTCTAGCAAAGAACGGGCTCGAACCAAACGGCTCTTGGGGGACACCGCCTGATCCCGATATTACGTAATTTGGATTGCACATGATGATTTTCGATACAGATAGGACTTATATACAAGATTTTAAAGCTAGATTTTACTTTTTTTTTCCATAAACTCTAGGCCTTATAAAAAAGGAAAAAGTTTATATAGAGCCTAGGCTATAAATAATCAAATTTGAGCCTACTTCAAAAATGTCACTAGAAAAAGTTGTTTTGATGCCCAAATATCATCAAATTGATCATCTCGACATCAAGATGCATGGACATCAGAAGAAAATGGATTTCAAGTTTCAGAAATAGTGCATCTTGTAACACATTTTTTCATTGTCACTTTTCAAGATATTCAAGTTTTCATAGACATGCATGATCTACACTATTTTTGAAGCTTTTAATTTTATAATTAAAGATAAAATTATATTTTAAGACTATTACAAAAATTTTTAGTATTGAAACCATATTTCTCGATACTATTTGAAGGTGGGTTCTAATTTGATTGTTTAGAGCCTCGGTTCTATACAAACCGCACCCTATAAAAAAAAATACACATATAAATAGGACTTTGTATGGGAGTGAATCTAGAATGTTCTCCTAGATGTAAACATGTTCCTTTAGGAAAAATTTATATAAGATGTCAATCTTATACTGTATTAGCCAGATACATTTAAAAAACCCATTAAAGAAGGTCGTTTTTATGCTGAAAATACACAAATCAATCATATCAACCTCGAGATTTATAGACATGAAAAAAAAAGGATTTATAATCCCCAAAATAGTTTCATCTTCTAACACATTATCTAGACCATCTATTTTTAATATTTTCAAATATTTGTAGATTTGTTTGATCGTCACCATTACTAAATCATTAAAATTATAAATTGTGGGCAACAATAGATTTTCATATCATCAAAAGACTTTGTGGCAACAAATCTACAATTTTGGCATAGTTGTGCAGTGCACCGATAGTATAAGGTTGACACCTTATACAAACCTCATCCCTGAATTAAATGATAATTGTCAGCCACCTCTCCACTAACCCAGCAAAAAATATTAAAATAGAGAGAGAGAGAATCCATTCTACTCTACTTTACCATATTTCACTTTGTCTATAATCCATATATACCTAAACATACAACACCATTCCTCAATCTCGCTCTACCTGCCATCCTCAATTTCCTTTGTTTCTCTTGGAGCATCAACCTGCCTTCGTCCTCACTTTGTCTCCCAATCCCATGGCCATGAATCTCTCCAAACCCTCCTCCATGTCTCCTCTCTTTCTCCTCCTCCTCACCATCTTCTTCACCATGACCACTGCCCAGAAACAAGACAACCTACCCCTAAACTTTCTACCAGAATTCGGTCTTGGAAAAGAGAATGTGAGCCATCTCCATTTCTTCTTCCATGACATAGTTGGTGGCCCGAAACCAACAGCCATACGTGTGGCCGAGGCAGACTTCACAAAAACATCTCCGACTGGTTTTGGAGCCATCGTGATGATAGATGATCCCCTAACAGAGGGACCCATGCTTAGCTCTAAGCTTTTGGGGAGGGCTCAAGGATTCTATGCATCATCAGCTTTAGAGGAACTTGGGTTTCTAATGACCCTCAACTATGTATTTGTTGAAGGCGAGTACAAAGGGAGCACCCTCAGCATTTTGGGGAGGAACCCTGTGATGAATGAGGTGAGGGAGATGGCAGTGGTGGGAGGAAGTGGAGCTTTTAGATTTGCTCGTGGCTACGCCTTGGCCAAGACCCACTCTTTTAATGACACAACTGGGGATGCTGTTGTTGAATATAATGTGGAGGTTATTCATTATTCCTCATTGAAAACCTTTTTTTAGGGATTGTTTTCACCATGATACTATTTACCTGTGTTGTAAGGAGATAAAAAATAATATAGTCATTGGATTTCAAATTGGACAAATTAGGGTGTGTGACAAAGTTTGATTTTTTTTTTTTTTTTAATTTTAAACCTAGTCAATGAAATACAACCACCCGATTTGAAATCCGACGGATAAAAATGATTGCTACCTCTAATAAAAACAAAATTCAAAATTTCCAGGTCTTTCCTTTTGAAAGGAGAATGTAACAAGATAGAAAAATGTATATTATCTGTAATAAGATACAAAAGAGTATATTACACTATTGTATTATTATTATATATACAATGAAAGAAACACACAAGACATAGTGTGTAGGGCACAATTATTTTCTCCAAGAGTTCCCCTCTCTCTAAAATTCTTTACGGTATCAGAGCCTCGGATTCTATCAAATCTTTTGTGAGATTAAGAACTTTGTAGCCTCAAATATTTTGAGGAAAGCTAATCGGGATGATGCACATAGATGGACTTGCATACCAATTTTAAGATGGAGTCTCCAAACCAATTTTGTGTATTGTTATATTTTGATTCTTCCCTACGAATTTTTGGGCCACTTTTGGACCATGTCCCCCACATATAAAGGTCTTACCCTAGTTTACAAATTTTTTATAGTGAAATAAAAGTCGCGAGTTAACATGGAGGGGGAGGGGGAGGGGGAGGGGGAGGAGTTAAAAGTCGCGAGTTAACAGAGAGAGTGCGTGTGAGAAATAGGAGGGAGGGAGGGAGTGAAGATTAATACTTAATACCTATATCTATTAATATCTATTAATATTATATTCATAATGGTATTCAGTTTTTAGTTCTTATTCTAGTTATTTATATTTACTATTGAACTTTTATTCTATTTCTTTAGATTATAGATTAATAAAATTAGAATGTGAGAGGAGGGATGGGGTGAAGATTAATACTATTTATAAGAAATATTCTTGTAGAGAAAGAGAGAATGAAGATTAGTTCTCTTCACAAGAAATATTCTTCGTTGTTACTCTCTCTCTCTCTCGACAAGTTATCTACTTCATAGTAGCCATTCACCCACAAAGTTAATTTTCTTGGAACCTTCAAGCAGCATTTCTTTCTCAAATTACCATCTATAGCATATAAATAGTGAATGTAGGAAAGTATTATAGTATGCTACATGCACTCTTTATATGGTACAAAACCCAGATATGGTAATTGGTGAAAAAAAATACTGCTAAAGGTTAGCGGACCATAAGTAATTAGAAAGAGACTCTGATAATGATGTTGTAGCATACTGTTATGGGTAAGTAATTTAACTTGCTATCTCAGGCAAAGAGTTAATCAAAAGAATTTTTTGATCTAGGATTTATTTTCAAAAGAAAAACAAAATTAAGTTCTTGGACTTGATGGTTCAAACTTTGAATGGTCTCTATTAGCTGATCGATTAGGATATTCCGCCTATTGGGTGTGTAACCACCGAAGAGAACGAATCTTGGGTAGAGGGCTCCTCTATGTAATGGAGTTGAGAGAGCGGGGGAGAGGTACTTTTGGCTATGAAGTCACTTACTCCTTTCCCTCTTTCTCTCTTTAGAGCACCATGTCTCTCTCCTTTTACTAGAAATCGATAAAAATCATCTACCAAAAAATTTCCTTCTTTCTTTCTCACTAGAAGCCCATAAAAAAAGCTTTTTCCAATTAGTGAGTGTTAGCGTATGGATATCTGGTTAGTATTGATATACATCATTATGGATACCTATCAGTATGGATAT